ACAAAAAAAAAAAAAAAAAAAAGAGCTGTGTGTGGGGGTTGGTAAGATGGCTCAGTGGTCTAAAGCACCTACTTAGAACAAGCTCAGCAAAGCACAGGGACCGCGGTTACACTGCACTTGGGAGGCCGAGGTAGGAGGATCCCTATAAACATGAGGCCACATGGACCACATGGTAAGACCCAGTCTCAAAAAATAAAACAGACAGGAAAAGTAGACAGGAATGAGGGTATAAATGAGTGGGGGAGCACCTGCCTTAGTTTATATAAGCCCTGCATTCCATTCCAGCACTACAAAAAATAAAAAAAATAAGGATTTCAAAGCCAAAGGGTCTCAGTTCCAGGACAACCATTTCCAAAAGTAAAATGTTCGGTTCCAACAAAAAAAAAAAGCAAATGATTTTTTTTTTTTTTCGGAACTGGGGATTGAACTCAGGCCCTTGTGCTTGCCAGGGAAGCACTTATTCCACTGAGCCATCTCCCCGGCCCCCCTCTTTTTTTTTGGAGACAGGTCTCACTATACCTTTCAGGCTGACCTTGAGCTCACTATGTAGCCCAAGCTGGCCTCAAACTCATGATGATCCTCCTGCCTTAGCCTCCCAAGTGCTGAGATTTGAGGGGTGCACCACTACACCCACAGCACCGGGCCATGCAACAGCAGGCTGCATGGTAAGTTTGGAACTGAGGAATACAGTGTGACCTGAGGCTACGAGCCCTCTCAGGGTGCTGGGTGTGCCAGGCCATCGGGAAGAGGTCCCCTTGGGGGCTCCTGAGCAACAGGATTCAGCACTCTTGCTGTTTTTCCCTCTTGAGGGACTGGTGGGTGAACCCCCAGCCTCTTTCCCCCTTTAGGACAGGGTCTCACTAGGTCATAAAGGCTAAACTCACTTGGTAGCCAAGGCTGGCCTTGAACTTCTTGCATCTTCCTGCCTCAGCCTCCCGAGTGCTGGGCTGACAGGTATGCACCACTATGCTGGGCTTTTTAAAATTCTGTTTTGAGGTAGGGCCTTCTAGGTTGCCCAGGCTGGGCTCCCTTGTAGCCCTTTTGCTTCTGCTTCCCTTCTTGCTAGGGTTACAGGTGTGAGCCACCACATCCAATTAGGGTGTTTTTTGTTTTTTGGGTTTTTTTGTATTTTAGGGAAGGGTCTGCAGGGTGTTCAGGGTCTCACTACTAGATCAGACTTGAGTGATCCACCTGTTTACAGCCTCTCAAGAGCTGGGATTATAGGCGTGCACCACCACGCCTGGTCTCAATTGCAGCCTCAATGCACCCCAGGGACAGGGCTGGCATGGCATAGGGTGCTATTTTTAACATGCGCCTTGTACTCTGTCCATCTCGCTAGTTCTTTTTTTTTTTTTTTGGCGGAACCAGGGATTGAACTCAGGCCCTTGCGCTTGCCAGGCAAGCGCTTATTCTACTGAGCCATCTCCCCAGCCCCTCTAGTTCTTGACCCTGTGGTGCCTCCTGCTGTGCCAGGTGCTGCCCTTCTCAGCAGTCTCCTACTCACATGTCCTTAGGGCACTGCAGAGGACAGAGAAGTCCCCCCTGTGGGGGCTCGGTCTGTGATCACCAGGTTCAGTACGTGGCTGTTGAATGGTCCACGGCCTCTAATAGCAAGCCTCCGGCCTCAGCCTCCCAAGCTGAGGATGAGAGGTGTGGGGCACCAAGCCCAGCTCTTCACTCTGTCTTTTATTTAAAACATACTTTGCATAACATGCACAGAGTATTTCTGGTTGGTTTTTTTGAAACAGAATCTCTTTGTGTAACCCAGGCTGGCCTTGATCTTTTTTTTTTTTTTTTTTTTTTGGGGAACCGGGGATTGAACTCGGGTCCTTGGGCTTGCCAGGGAAGCACTTATTCTACTGAGCCACCTCCCCAGCCCCGGCCTTGGTCTTTAACCATCCTCCTGCCTCAGCCTCCCCGGGACTCCTGGGATTACAGGCGTGTATCACCATGCCGAGCACAGAACAGTCTTTAAATGTAAAGTTCAATGAATTACAGTATGCACACATCTTTTTTCAGACACATGGTCTCATTGTGTAGTTCAGGCTAGCCTTGAACTCACTATCTACAAGGCCCTAGGCTGAACTTGAATTTGTGGCAATCCTCCTGCCTCAGCCTCTGGAATGCTGGAGTCACAGTTATGGGCCACTACACCCATGTTAAACTGTATTTACATTTTCGAACTTCCGTTAACTCTGGAGACTGGGGTCCGGAATGATGGCTTGGTGGAATAAGCACTTCCCTGACAAGCGCAAGGACCTGAGTTCAATCCCCGGTTCCGCCAAAAAAAAAAAAAAAAAAAAAAGACTGGGGAACTCTGGAGACTAATGACTAATCTCTTTTTCTATTATCCTGTGATAAACTCAACAATTAAACTTATTTATTTATTTTCATGCATTTGGTACAGGGTCTGGTCTCAGTGGCCAGCCCCGTGCGCCTGGGAGCGGGCTGGAGCGGCATATGGTGCCTGGACTCTAACTCGGGGTGCCTGGACTCGGGTCGCTGCGCTTGCCTAAGCAGATGCTTAGTCCGCTGAGCTATCTCGCCTGCCCATCAACAATGAAACTTAAGTGTTACTTAAAATGTTTCAAAAATTAATAAAGTTTCCTGGGCATGTGGGGGTGGGGTGGGTAGTGGTACTGTGAGGCAGACCCTGCAGCTTGGACAGTCCCTCTGGGTTCGGGTCCCAGCCTGCCTTGGGTGACCCGGGACCATAGCAGCCCCGGCTTCCTTCTCTGTGAAATTCAGGGGTGGCCCAGGACTGGGGCTATGCGGCCTGTGTTTAATCCACTGTAAAACGGGAACAGTCAACGGGCCCGATCTCCCGCGCTGAAGGAAGCAGAGGCCTCAGCTGTCGCTACTCGGCTGCTACCATCGGTACTAAAGCCCAGTTGTGCCTCTGGTTACAACTTCGGGTAAACTGAGGACTGCTCGCAGCGCCGGCTCCCCCCCCCCCCCGCAGCTGGTGCACAAACCCTCAGCCCAGCTGCCCCCCCCCCCCCGCCGCAGCGCACCAAGGGCCCGGACAATGATAACGCTGCGCATGGTGACACTGACCCGACAGTCCTCGGCGCGGCAGGTTCCGCTTGTAGTCGATGGGGCCGTAGCCCCCTGGCGGGGGCATGTCCTGCTTCACCTTCGCCGCTGCCATCCCGCCAGGACCCCGCACTTCCGGCCCCGGGCGGAAGTGACGTACGCAGCCTCCACCACGCTCAGTGTGGCGGAAGCTGCAGGAGGGTCTCCCGCGGAGAGACTGCACGGGACTTGGCACCGACTCTCTAAGTGCTCGTTATTTGTTGTTCTTCCAGACACGGCGAGACTCGGCCATCGCTGGCACCTACCGGCGTGCTCCGGACCTTGCACTAATGGCGCCCCCGCCCACCTTCCCTCGGGAGTTGCGCGGAGCAGTCAGAAATCGGAGCTCCCCAGAAGCCGGCTTCCCGCGTTACGCCCCCCTCTCCCGTTTTCGCCCCTCGCCGGGTCTCTGCGGGCACCTGAAGGCTCCACGTGGCCAGCGGCTGGGCACATGGAGTTCGAGGGAGCTCGGGAGGAAACACTCCAATTCCAGGGGCCCACTCTGCTCCCTGCGTGTGGCAGATGCCCTCTCTAGTGCCTCTTGTCAGGAACTGACTGTGCAGCCACCGAGTCACAAAGAGCGAGGCCCCAGGGAGGCGCCCTGGGGTGGGGTCCGGCCCGAGTGACGCCCCCAGTCACTTCACAAGGCAGAAATTGTTACCCAGGTGATACAAGTCGCGGTGCCGGCGGGGTCTGTGGAGTGGGCACATGGGGGCGCGGGGGTGTAGGTGCCGACCGCCATGGGTTAGGCCCGAAATTGGAGTCCGGCCGCCCCCCGACAGCAGCCGCCTCCTGCTCCCCGCGCGCCCCCGGGCGCCACCATGTCGGGTGACAAGCTCCTGAGCGAACTCGGCTATAAGCTGGGCCGCACGATCGGCGAAGGCAGCTACTCCAAAGTGAAGGTAGCAACTTCCAAGAAGTACAAGGGTACGGTGGCCATCAAGGTGGTGGACCGGCGACGCGCGCCTCCGGACTTCGTCAACAAGTTCCTGCCGCGGGAGCTGTCCATCCTGCGCGGCGTGCGGCACCCGCACATCGTGCACGTCTTCGAGTTCATCGAGGTGTGCAACGGGAAGCTGTACATCGTCATGGAGGCGGCCGCCACGGACCTGCTGCAAGCCGTGCAGCGCAACGGGCGCATCCCCGGGGCGCAGGCGCGCGACCTCTTTGCGCAGATCGCGGGCGCCGTGCGCTACCTGCACGACCACCACCTGGTGCACCGCGACCTCAAGTGCGAGAATGTGCTGCTGAGCCCCGACGAGCGCCGCGTCAAGCTCACCGACTTTGGCTTCGGCCGCCAAGCACACGGTTACCCGGACCTGAGCACCACCTACTGCGGCTCGGCCGCTTATGCGTCGCCTGAGGTGCTGCTGGGCATCCCCTACGACCCCAAAAAGTACGACGTGTGGAGTATGGGCGTTGTGCTCTACGTCATGGTCACCGGGTGCATGCCCTTTGACGACTCAGACATTGCCGGCCTGCCCAGGCGACAGAAGCGCGGCGTGCTCTACCCTGAGGGCTTCGAGCTGCCCGAGCGCTGCAAGGCCCTGATCACCGAGCTGCTTCAGTTCAGCCCCTCCGCCAGACCCTCGGCGGGCCAGGTAGTGCGCAACAGCTGGCTGCGCTCCGGGGACTCGGGCTAGGAGCCGGGGTTCCAAGGCTGCACCGAGCCAGCCCGCCCCGCGCCGACAGGAAGAGGGCGTCCCAGGGAACTGGCGGGTGCGCCTCGGCGCGCCACTGCGCACGCGCGCTCTCATTCCCCCCCCCCGAGCCTCAGTTACCCCCTACCCCTCCTCAACCTACCCCTCCCATGGACCCTAGTTCCTCCATGAGAGCTGAAAGCGCATGTGCATTCTCGCTCCGGAGGGGCAGGAGACGGAGTCTCACGCCTGAGGGGAAGGAGCGACAGCTCGGCAACCGTGGTGGCTGCGTGGAGACGTTGCGGACACGCAGAGGCCGCCCTCCCTAGCCAGCTACGGTGCCAGGTTTCCAACTGGAACCTGCAATAAACTCGCTCTTCCTCGCACCCGCCGCACCTGTTTATGGAGCAGGGAGAAAGGGTCCTTCCCGGAGGAAGATGGGGACAACGTTCGCACTTCACAGAAAGGCAGGTTGCGATTCTGCCTTCAGGTCTCAAAAGGGTAATAGGAGCACTTAACCTTGGAGTGTCCATGCTCCCCAACTTGGGGGCAGACCCCAAGGGGGCTTTGTTGCCCCTGGAGCCGTGGGGGTGCTGGGAGAGGGAGCAACTGGACCCGAGACCCAACCACAGTGGGAACTGCCTATTTGCAGTATTTACTCGTGGGGAAACAGAGGCCCACACAGGTGGCATGTGCCCAAAGACAGCTGGGATGTGGCCAACCACCATGCTGAAGTGGGCCGTTTGAAAACCTTTGCTCAGGTGAGGACCCGCTCTGGGCAGTTGGTGTGGGTCGGGGTGGGCGCCCCAGCCCTGTCTGCCTTCCTCTCAGCCCTTGGGCTTCCCTTGCTCCTGCTGTGTGCCTGGCCCTGGAGCTAAAGTGAGGGGGGCATCCCATGCTTGATCCAGCAGGACACGGATGAAAGTAGACTGGCGGGAGGGAAGAGAATTGGAAGCGTCAGACACAGGAGGGTGGAGCTAGAGGGGCATCTTCCAGCTGGCTACTGAATCAGCCCGGAAGGCAGAGACAGAGGCCGAGCAGCAGGAAAAATAGCTACAATTTTTTTTTTAAAAATCTGTATTTGGTTCAAGGTCTCGCTGTGCAGCTCAGACTCGAAGTGATCCAGTCTCAGCTTCCCCAGCACTGGGATTACAGGCATGGACCACCGGCGGCCTGGGAGGAGGGGCTCTCAGGAGGGGAGCCCAGGGGGAGCAGGGGCTGTGACTGGGTTTGGTATCAGCAGCTGTCTTCAACCTCACCCTGCTTGGGGGAGCACACACCACCCTAGCGACCTTTTTTCAACCAAAGAGGAGAAACCACACTTTCTGTCCTCCCTGAAGCCCAGCCACACACGGTCCCTGGTTCCTGGCCTTCTGTGCTCGGTCTCAACCCCCAGCCCTTGTGTAAATTGTTCATGAGGCATCACTTCTCCTCTCAGCCTTGGTCTAGTTTGGCATCCCAGCTACTTGGGAGGCTGAAGCACAACCACCGCGACCCTCTGCAGGTGGTGCTGGGCAGGCAAGGGTTTAGTGGCTCTGGCTCTAGGGAGTATATCTGATCCGGGTCAGTGTTAAAGCACTTTATAGTGTGACAAGATGCTGCGTTTGATTCCCAGTATGGGGGGCTTTGGGGCGGGGGTGGGGGCGCCATAAAGCAACATAACCTCAGCCGAGCGCCAGGGGAGAAGTTACAATATTTAAGAAAAATCTTTACTTGGTACAGGGTATTGCTACACTGCTCAGACTCCTAGGGATCCTCCTGTCTCAGCCTCCCCAGCGCTGGGATTACAGGCGTGCGCCACCATGTCTGGTTTTGGGTCCCCTGGCACAGCACGCCACACCCAGATCCTTGTGCTTCCTATGCAGGCACTTAAGACTGCCAAGCTATTTCCCCAGCCCCCAGAGCTACCATCTTATGCAGAGAAACCCACTGTTCAGTGTGAGACAGCAGGGCCCCAGGACATCCAAGGGGACAGCCCATCCAGGGCTCACTCCATACCCTCCGTGGGCACATCATCTAGGGCCAGGCCAGTGGGGATGGGTGCCATGGGCCCCAGCCCTCCCACCACCCATGGAGCCTCCACCTTTCTCCAAAGTGAGGCTAAACTACCAGAGACCAGGGCCAAGAAAGAAAAGCACAGCGACACATTGTCCATTCCTTTATTGTCCCAACTCTGAACTTCCTCATTTATACAATGCATGGCCACCGATGCCAGCCACTAGGCTTATGGAAACTTCTGTTCCAATTTGGTGGCAAACATCTTTTTACATTATCAAAGCTTTAGAGTCACAATAAATACAAGTGACAACCTCCCCCCTCAGAGCTCCCGTACCCTGCACTAGCATAACCATCTATCACTTCTGTTAACTATAAAAATGTTGTCTTTGGGGGGAAAAGCTCAGTTCAAGTCCCCGTGCTAAGGTCCCGGGGAGCCCCACTCAGCTGCAGGTAAACCCAAGGTGATATGGCCATGTCTGCCCAGGAAGGCACCACCAGGCCACCCACTCCCCTGCCATGCCCACCCGAGGGGACACAATCACCAGAGGTCTTGATGCCATCAGACTGCAGTCCCTACACCCTGGCCAGAGCAGCAAGGGCTCCCAGTGGACCAGCCGCACCCCTCTGAGCAGCTGACTTGGAGACAGTTCCCAGCCACCCTGGGGTTTGCGTCCTGGGTAACAGGGACCCTGACAACTGCTACTTTGTTGACTAGAGCTGGATCCTCCCAGGGCTCTAGGGACACCACCAGGACCCTAGAATTTTGGGGACAGCAGTTAGGCTTCGAGGGGTGCACCTTGTGGCTAGTGTGATGCCCCTGAATGCTGACAACCCACTTTCTCGGGGCGCTCCACACCAGCACACAGGGGCATTGGGCCAGGTCACCAGCAGGGGCATTAATGTCCTCAGTCACCAACCCGGGGCTCACCACCCAAGTTACATTGCAGAGGGACTGGAGTGAAGACACAAGCAAGGAAGGGCTTTCAAGACGTAGAAGTGGAAGATTAAGGCATCTCACATTCTTGTCCCCCTATACTTAAGAAAACAAAAAAGCTACATTACGTCACAGTATGCTGTCCCTGATGGGAGTGAACGCTCGTGGGACCCGGGCCAGGGCTGGCCACCCTGTCTCCAACCCTGTCCTGAGCTGATGGCCCGGATAACACTGAGCCCTGGAGGAAAAGTCTGGCTAGCTGGAGCCGGGCAACTCGGCTGAGCTACTGCATAGAGCTAAGGGGGCGGGCGCTCAGCCTGGAGAAGCCTGCACCAGGGACAGAAGGCCCATGGCTCAGGCAGGAGACAGGGCTGTCCGCCAGGCACACAGAAAGAAAAAACTCAGGCAGAGACATTTGCATACTTTAGGGTGCGGGGTAAAAGCACCCTCCCCCTCAAACAGAGAGGGTCCCTGGCTCTTGGGATGAAGCCACGCTCCACACCTCCTCCTGCAGTGCAGCAAGAAGTCATGACTCAAAACAATCAGAAATCTGGGGCTTGCACAGCACAAAAAATGAGAACGTTTTCCAAAACGAGGTCCTCTACTTGTCACTGTTTCCGGAGACTGATGACATTCACACGCCGTGAACGTGGGGTTAAATGAGCCTTTATTAGAACGCTGGCTGTCGCAGTTGTTTGGAGAACGTCCTACAGAATGAAGGTTTTAAATTAAAGTCCCTAATTGCATCGGTAGGGAGACAGGCTGGAGCAGACCTGGGAGCCACGCTCCCTCCTCCGAGCTGACATGGAGCTGCGGCAGACACACGCAACAGCTCTGCCTTTCTCACGGAACCCATTTTTAGAAGAACGGGAAGGGAAGAAAAACTAAAAGCAGACCTGATCCTTAAAAAAAAAAGAAGTCAGAAAGCAAACCCTGATAGCAGCCCCAGCCTGGGGACCGGTTCTGGCCACACTCAAGTGCCCCAAAGCGCCTCAGGTCTGGGGCTCAGCTTGCCCTGCCCTGCCCTGCCCCTGCACGACGCCTCCAGGGGCAGCTTGAGAGTGTCCATCGAAATGAGTAGAAAGGAAACATTTAATAAAATAAACCTCCATCACACAGCCCTGCCCCGGAGCCTCCCCTCACTTGGCTTCCAGATGGCTCGGCCATGACTGTAGACTTCTGAATCCTGGGTCCTGGGCAGGGCCTGGCTACAGTTTGTTCTTCTGCTGAGTGTGGGTCTGGGGACTCTAGAGGTCCCAAAAGAGCAGCAATGAGGCTTTCAGTGGGATGTGGCTGGCATCCCCGTGTCCATGAGCCGCCAGGGCCTGGCCAGCCACCTGGGGGCGGTGCACCGCGGGGCCCTATCCAGACAACACGGCCTGCAAGGCCTACTCTCAACTCCATCATCATGAGGTGATTAAAACAAAACAAAACAAAACAAACACAACTTTCAACCTATAGATTGGCAGGAAGGGAAGCAAAAATTCAGAGCCTAAGACAGGGAGAAGCATAAAGAAACAAGGCCCCCCGCTCAGCTTCCAAGGCCGGCGCCGGGCAGTCAGTGTCCAGAGTGAGCCGCCAAGTGCCACTGGGCCCGGCAGGGCTGGGACCTGAGCCGGCCCTGAGGTCCATGTTTCTGCTGGTGTTGGGCAAACTAAAGGCAAAGAGAGGAAGGAAGAAAGCCCAGGGAAAGGTCCCTCGGTTCTGACCCTTGTCACCAGGAGAGCGGCCTATCACCCCACCGTGCCCAGGGCTGCTGCTCAGGCAAGCGCGGCGCCTCGGCATCCTGCAGTGTGGCGCCCAGTGTGGGCGGGGCGGGGCGGAGGGCGCATGTCCTCCACTGGGCCGGGCTCAGACTATTTCCACGTGGCCGACTGGGGGATGGAACGTGGTGGGATCATGTCAAGGAGGTATTCTCGCTGGCGGTCCACGGCAGAGGCTGTCTTGTGCACAGCCAGGCTGGGGCTGACGAACGCGAGGGTCCCACCTGCAACACAACAAGACGGGCTACAGCGGCTGGGTCAGGGCTGCAGCCCTCTGTGCTGCCAGCACCTGCGCCCCTGGCCCGGAGGACCTGCAGCCACCAGGGGCTCTGAGGCAGGCACTGCCTCCATGGCACAGGCCACAATGCGCAGAACTGCAAGCAAGAGACAGGTGTACTGTGGTGATGTGGGCGGGGAGATGCCGACAGTCACTGAAAACCACATCACCGAAAAGACGATGTTGCTTGCTTGTAGTACTGAAGGAAGCAGCCAGGGTCTTCAGCATGCTGCGTCCCAGCCCCTTTTTATCTTTTCAGACAGGGTCTTACTGACTCGTCCAGGTAGGCTGACCCTGCGGTTATCCCACCTCGTCTCCCAGAGTGCTGGGGTTCTGAGTGGACTTTGAACTGCACCCTGCCAGTACCCCATAGAGCCTCTGCACGGTCCGCACTCCATTCTCTGCAGCCCCCACCAAGGCCATGCTCAGTGACAACCGCCACCCACAGGTTTCGCCTCCAACTCCATCTTACAAGCACATGGTCACTTTTCACTCTGCCAATCCAGTTAGGGAACACAGGACCTTACTATGTTGCCCCTGCGGAAAGCCAGGGCTTGCGCCATCACCCTCCCCAGCCTCCCAAGCAGCTGTCCAGCACTATGCCCCACTCCTCTGCATCAAGATACACCTACCTCACCGTGCATCCCCATAACAAGGCCACCACCTGGGTGAACCCCAAGCTTGCACCAATAGCTGCCAGCTCTGGCCAGGCCTTTCATAGTGCAAGCCTCTGGCCACAGCCCAAACTGCCCACCCCACTGCCCGCAGCCTTACTTCCAGTGGACACAGCAAGGAACTCCTAACCCATCCATGCCTACGTGAGGAAGGGCTCTAAGCTACTGCCTGGCTCTGCTCTGGCACCTCCTTGGGGGAGAGACAGTGGCCCCGGGCCAGGACAGACTGAGCCTACATTCCAGCATGGGGTTGCCTATGAGCGCGGGGTGCAGAGGGAGTAGGGCGCTCTGGCAGGGAGTGCGAGATGACACCGGAGGCAATGCTCAGTCTGGGCGTTCAGGCTCCTTCTGCCACTTCTTGTCCTGGAAGTGAAGAGGGGACTTGAGGCAGCAGGTGCTCACCTGCACTCAGGGGCGTCTTCTTCCAGCTGGCAGCAGCACTGCCCTTGGCGGTCCCTGCAGCTCGCTCGGAATGTCTGCCGGTCCTGCTGACCAGGGCCGTGGCTGAGGCTGCGTTCTGCAGTTTGGGTGACTGGCTGAATGCGTGCAGGACGCCTCGGGGCGTCGTAGCAGAGCCCCGGGACAGTTGGCTGGAGGCCTGCGGGGGAAGAGGGCAAGCTCACTGGGGAGGAAGGGACAGGGTGGCGAGATGCCTGGAGCATAGCCTCTCCTTGCTCTGGCGGACCGCTTCCCACCCACACGCACGGGTCCCTAGAGTCCAAAATCAGGAGACCAGGTAAGTCACACTGGGATGCAGCGAGGGACAGAGAGATAGACGTGGGCAGCATGACAGCTGGTGGTAGTGCCTGCGCTGGGTGGAGGCTCCCGGCCCGGCGCCGCAGTTCTGACCTGTAGCACAGCCCCGTTACTCCAGTCGCGCGCCTCTCCTGAGCGGAACGCCAGCTTCCGCCGGGGCTTTATGACCTGCACAAATGGGCAAGATGGGTCAGTGTCTGTGTGGCTCCCAGCCCAGGTGACCTCGGCAGCCCAGGTGACCCTGCGGGACAGGCCCAGCCCCAACAGCAGCCTACTCTCCTGCAACTTTAGGTGCAAAAATATATTCAGTGACTTCTGGGGAAACAAAAATTACCAAAAATCCAGCTTCCGGCCTACAGAGGGTAGGAAAGAGAAGCATCAAAAGATAACTTCAAAATAAAAACCGACAAAAAGCTTCACTTGAAACTCGCTTCTCTCCATAATTTAGCCAAAGCACTTTCTGCTGAACACCGTGTGCTGCCAGCATGGCTTCCGAAGTCTTTCCACACGAGCACTTGTCAGCCAGGCGCTGCGAGTGAAGGCTACAGAAGCTCAGGAAGCTGCAAATTAGTGTTGGCATCGCCCAGCACCGCCATTAGGTGCAACTTAGACGTGCAGCCAGTCGTCAGGCAGCTGAGCACCAGGGACAAGACACCAGACTGGCCTTCTGGGGACACTGTGCGGTGCAGGCCGGGGGCTCACCTGCTTCAGCGCGGGGTGCGGGGCGGTGGCGGGCTCGGCCTTGGCCACGGCAGGTGATGGGCCCTGCTGCAGCAGGCGCTGCTCAATCTCCTGCTCCTGCTGTAGCGCCTTCACAAAGGCGGCCTTCAGGCGGCTGGTGTGCTCCACCTTGAGTGCCTTCTTCTGGTTGGATGTCATGCAGTTCTCACACATGATGGCACCGCCCTTCTCGCGCCAGCGGCAGGTGAAGTCAGTCTTGCACTGCGCGCACATGTAGGGCTCTCGGGCCAGCACAGCAGCAGCTGCGGCGGCGGCGGCGGCAGCGGCTGCTGCTGACATCCTGCCCGCTGCAAGGGACAGGACACCAGCGTCAAGCCCAGCAGAGGCAAGAGAAAGGGACATGCTGGCGCACCAGGCTGGAGGCCATGGTGAGATGTGGAACAGAACTCGAGAGCAGCCTGGGACACCTGGTGGCGACTGGGACCCAAGCTGCAGCAGGTGTGATGAGCGTAGCCCCCTCACTGCGCAGCAGCAGGCCAGCAAGGCCCACAGCGTGGGCCAATGCTACACTTGTGCAGCTATGTGCCAATTCTCCCCAGACCTTGGAAGTGCCGGCTCCTGTCCTGTCCCACCCACTACGGAGGCGTCCCTTGACACTCTGGCCTCACACCGTACCAACAGGTACCTGGCTGGCAGATGCAAGCGAAGACAGGGACCCAGCAGGCATCAGCAGGGCCAAGAGCTACACACTACAGGACCGGGCAGCACAAACCAAGTACTCTTGCCCTGGACAACCCCAGCGCTGGGCCACACTCACTGCACTACCCTGCCCTGAAGCTGCAGGCGGAGGCGGAGAGCAGTGTGGGTAGCAGGCAGCCCTGAGCTGGGGTGGCTGGGAAGAGCCCCGGGCTGCACAGTCGTTTCTTGAGGTGCTGTGGCACCATCCTGGGGTTGCATGTCCAGGGCCTTTAAGAGCCCCTTGGTCACCAAACTGCATAGCCAGGATGGATGCTAAGGACTGTCCCCTCCCTTGCCCACCGGGTCCAGCCTTCTGCAGACCTGCAGGAGGTAGCAGGGTCGGGGGGAATCCCTTGTCGCACAAAGCAGACAGGATGTCAGCTGCCCAATCTGCCCATGTGCAAACCCCCATCCCCCTGCACACAGCCAGCTCTCCAGGAAGAGGTGGAGGGAGCCCGCCTAGGGCCAGATCACAGCCGGAACTGTGGAGGGACCTCTCTCAGGTGCTTTCTGCCCTGAGGCCTGATGTAAGGGGCAAGAGGGGCACTAGTCTGGAGAGTGACACCCACCAAGACAACATGCACCAGGACCACCTTATGACACCTCAGGGCCCCTGCTCTGCCTGTCTCCACACCTGAGGGGTGAGCAGGTGGAGGTGCTGCCTGGCTGGGAGAAGCTATTTGGACAGTGCAAAGGCTGAGTCTGCTGGGTGCTGGCGCTTCTGCCACCTCCTATTCCAAGCCCAAGGTGACTCTCAGGAGAGATTCTGGGGGCATCTGGGCTACAAACCTCATCTGGAACTCAGGCTCAGGTACTAAGGGCTCAGCCTCTGCAAAAGGGGAGCAGGTCCCCATGGGCCATCTCAGCCACCCACCTCCTCTGTCTCCAATGCTGGTGCTCACTGTGACCCTGTTCCCCAAGAAGGCAGACAAGGGAGCAGCCCCAGCAGGGCTGTCCATGGCTGCTTATCCCCCTGGGCCATGGGCCTCTTGGGCACAGGGCTGTGTCTCACTTCATGGCAGGGCAGGGCAGGGCAGGGCAGGGCATGGCAGGTCGCCTTACACGCACTAGGTGGGCAGAGGGAGAGCCTGTGGTACCTAGTACCTACCTTGCGTCTCAAGCAGGTTCTGCACCACCTCCTCCAGGCCAACCAGGTAGATGAACTCGTTGTTGGCAGCACTGGGCAGAAAGTTCATCTCCGGGGCAGGGGGCTTGGGTGGGGGGATCTCCAGCAGTGTTTTCTCCAGCTGTTTGCGCAGGGCGAGCTTGGCTGCCGCCTGCCGGCTGGCTGGGGACTCAGCAGAAGCAACCACAGAGGCCACGCTGGTGGGTGTGGAGTTGGCCTGTGCGGAGGCAGCTGTCGTCCCCTTCAGAGAGGCTGGGGTGGCCTGCAGAGAGACAACCTGGTCAGGGTATCCAGTGTGCCCACTCAGCCCACTGCCACCCCACGTCCAGGCCAGCACTATCTGTATGACACACAGGCCTGGGCTGTGGCTCAGCAGTGAGTGCCTGCCTGGCACACATACAGAAGACAGAATAAGGCAAGAGTTGGCTGACATTCAACAGGTACCGGGAGTCAGCAGGCCACAGGGAAAGTGGCCTAAAATGCCCTACCCTTGAAGGCAGGAGTCCCTATATTCCCAGAGCCCACAGACGCCAGCACACCCTACAGGGCAAGGCCAACACCATGCCCTGTAAGTAACCTTGCTGGGGCGCCCATGCCCATGTTTCATTTGAGTGTGGTGGGGCAGCTCAGGACCCACCTGCTCTGCATTCCTCTGTGCTCCCCTGGGCCCCGGGTGGGCTCTATGCGCCCCTCAACTACTCTCACCCCAGGGTTGAGGATCCTACTGGAAACAGGACAAGAATTGTACACGCCAACCTTGGACACAGGGGCCCAGCTAGGGACCTGCTCACGGCACAACTGGGTGGCCAGACTTACTCCTCCCTCTGGCCAGCCCTAGGCCTGCCACCGCGTGCCTCTGCCCACCCTTAGTGCCCCAGCAGCAGGGTGGACTGGCCCTGGGCTCCAGTTAGCAAAGGCAGGGAAAGAGAGGGGCCACCCAGGGAGTCTGGCGCCCTCTCCCACCTGGGGAAGGCAACACCAGGAGCCTTGCCAAAGAAGGCAGAGCAAGAGAATGCATATCAGCAGAGGGCCCTACAGACCCTGTAATTTCATCTGTCAACGGGGCTCTGGCTATCAGCCCACCTCAACCCTCCTCTCCCTCTGCTGCTGCGGCTCTATGTAGAGAGAGAACTCGAGGCTAAGAGATGCGGGCATCGTGGGGATATCCACAGACACTGCAGGCCTGAGTCTGCAGGAGAAGGGCTCTGTGCCTGGGTAACTCCGGGCCATGGCTCCTTGGGCCATGGTCCCCAGTCCTTAGCCATAGTTGCCCCCCACCTTTGCCATGTCCAGGGGCTTGAGTCCTCCACTCTTCCAGATGCCAGTGACTTAAAGTACCCCCCCCCCCACAGGCACAGGCCCTACCTGTGGGATGTTCACGAGCAGACTGGCATTGGGGACATTGGCGACACGGATGAGTCCCTGCTGGATGATTCTCTGTCCCTGAATTTGCACACTGGGCACAGAAGCGCGGGGTGCCAGGAGCAGAGGAGGTGGCCCTGTGCTGGAATGTTGTCTGATATTGTGGATCTGCTGTGGAGCAGGGACAAACAGACACTGAGCCAGGCCACAAGTCGTGGGGCAGGTTGGAGCCTTCCTCCCCAGGAGCTAGCACCTACTGTGGCCTGGCCCTGCATACCTGGGCCCCCCTGACAAGCGGGGGCATGACGACCTGTGAACTGGTCTGCGGTCCCAGCTTGGAGGATACCTGCTGCCCGCCGCGGACCAGGGGTGGCGGGATGACACTGCCCGGCATTCGGGAAGAGGTCTGGCAATGACACAAATGCCCATGTTTACTTGACTTTTTGAATTTTAGAAGAGCAGAATGCTAGCTTAAAAAAGAAAAAAGAAAAGAAAATCTAGATAAAATGTGTATTTAGGGGCCAAGGAGATGGTTCCATGGAATAAGCACTTCCCTGGCAAGTGCAAGGGTTTGAGTTCAATCCCCAGTTCCGCAAAAAAAAAAAAAATAAATAAATAAAAAAATTAAAAAAAAATTTATTCTCAACATAGGCACCACTAAGAGCCTGGAAAACTGGGCTCTCTCAGGAGCAAGGTAGGATGTGTGAAAACAAGATTCCACAGGTGCCAGCCTGTGACACGGGCACTGGAAGTCAGCCTTTGATGGGCAGAGGGGTCATGAGACGCTCCGTCTCTGTGACATCAAGTAGTGGCCTGGTCTAGGGAACCTGTGCACAACTCTCTCTTGCGCCAGCAGTTTTTGGCTTTGGGCAGGGCTGCCCAGGAGCCTAGAACCCTGCCTAAGTGCAGCCAGAAGCAGCACCATGGCCTCTTGGCTACTGCACAGGGGACACTGACCTGAAGTGATGTCTTGCCCGCAGGAAGGCTCTGGGTGCCCCGTACGAGCGGGGGAGGGGTGGTCACAGCACTCCCGGCAGAACCTGCCGGCTGTGGGAGAGGAAGACACACAGGCATGAGGTCCCCGCAGGTACTTCTGCTGGCACGGGCCTCACCGCCTCCCACCTGGCTCTCAAAGGTGCTGCTGCCAACCTGGCAATGGGTCCCTCTGTGGCAGTAGCTGGGCCGGTACAGGCCCCAGGAGAGGCACTCCAGCAAACCCACCCTTGGTATCCCTGGCCTAGGACCCATCCTGCCCTGCAGGGGTAAGACACCCAGTGACGGCAAGAGCTGGGGCAAAGCCAGAGCGTCACACATCCTGAGTGGCAAACTACCACTGAGCCATACCCTCAGCCCGTCAGAACTCCGTTCACAGTCACGTATGCCCCAGGAAGAGATAGTAACAGGCCCTGCACAGATAAGGGGACAAAGCTTCTGCCCAATCCACTCATGCTGACTTCCCAAGTGCCGAGGCGGGGACTGAAAAGTGTGCAGGAGAACTGTACCCACAGCCAGAGGGTCCCAGCCCAACGTGAGTCAACGCACACCACACTCCCGACTGCACAAAGCAACAGAAGAGAGGACTCAGCTGTGGGAGGTAAGGCCGCATTAGGGCTCCTGCTGGGGCCTTGGGCTGTGTTCTGAGGGACCTGAGAGGCAGGCACACAGCCTAGCAGGGTAGAGAGGCCAAGGTACAGCCGGTGGTGGACACTGCCCCCTGCCAGGCAGGAGGGCTTCTGGACAAGGGCTCAGCAGAGACTGCATACATACTTGTGTCGGCTGAAGCCCTCAGCTCATGCCCTGTACAGTTCAGCTTCAGACCTGGCGCTCCCCGCAAAACTCTGCCATCCCTCCAGCTCAGGGCACCCACTCAGCCCTGCCCTGGGCCTCGGAAGAAGCCTTGCCCTCTACCAGCCTTCCCCCACCACCGACTGCCAGTGGCACATACCTTCTGGGTGGTGGCTTCCTTTTGTATCTGACTCTGCCGAAGCTTTTTTAACAGAACGAGCTTTGCTTCTTCTAGTCTTAGCTCTTCTTTCAGCTGCTTGATCATCCTTTCCCGTTCTTCAGGACTACTTTTCTGCAAGAACGAGACACCAGAGCTGGACACACGCTTGGCAGGGGCCCCGTCCCCACGTGCTGGGCCTCCCACAAGGGACTCACCATGAGGGCCTCAGTGCTGGTCTCCTTCAGGGCCACATTGGTCAACCCATTCACACGTGGGCTGGAAGGCTGCTCATTGTCAGACAGCACAATCACGTCAGGCGAAGGGGGCCTCCTCTCTGACTTCATGTCACTATGGGCAGAGACAACGGGTAAGCAGAGCAAGCATCTAAGTGCCAGAGCTGTGCTGGCGGCAGGTGGGATTGTGTGCCAGGCCAGCCCTCTCAACACAGGCAGCACGGGGCCCAGGGTGGATAAATGCACTCTACTCCAGTTCTCCGGCCCAGCCGGGTCCTGGGCCATGGCCAGCTCCAAGTGCTAGATGTGATGGGATGCATCTGCCCTAACACCAGAGGCCACCACTACCTGTGCTGGACACCATATGTGGGGAGTGCCCCCCCCACAGCACCAGAGGACCTGTGCACACTGTGCACTGCCACCTTGGAGGGCAAGAATGTGGCAGCGGGGGTGATGGGCTTTGACAGTAATGAGAACATCCATGAACACCTGCACAGCTTCCGACCCATCTGCCTGGCTTAGGACTGGTGCCTCACATCCTACACCAACCCTGTGAGAGCCACAGCCTGCAACCCCCAAAGCTGTCTCAGTCCCTCTCACCAGTGTGGCCTGAGCCCTTCTGTTCCTGGTGTGAAGAGAGCGCTCACCCCCAGGTCACTGGTGGGGGCCAGCTATTTCTCACTAATGACCACAGCACCCACCATGGCTGAGCAGTGCAAGGGGACCAGGAGGCCCCTGTGGCTTTCCTGTTGTTTCTGTTAGGATATGGTCCAGGGTCTAAGCGTGCCGTTATTTCTCAGACTCCAACAATAGCAAGTGTCCGTTCCGTGCAAACCACGTACATGACACCATTCACTGAAGCGGGCACAGGTTGATACTTGCTTCCCTTCTTGTGAAGCATACACTTGTGCCCCTACCACACATCCCCCTCTGTAATAACACGCTGCACACCTTCCCTGAGGAACCTTACTGAAGACTTATTCTGAAGAAACCAGAGCCTCCTTTTGTGGTAAGGGAAAGCAGTCAAATACACAATGTGCCCACTAGGTGGCACTGTGATCCACGGGACTTCTTAGATGAAATTAAGTCACAGCTCCAAGTTGTCCCTGCCTTGCCCACTGTGCAGAGTGGGGACATTGTGACTAGGTTTGGGCTTCAGAGAGGAGTCAGCAACCACTGGCGCAGCAGCAGCCTCCTGGACTGGCAGCTGCGACTGACTGCAGCCAATACCCCCTTCCTTCTGCCCTTATCCCAGCCACCAACGCACTCTCCAGCCCACACTGGGTTCAACTAGACAGCCACCAACTTGAAGCACACAGGGTCCTGGGTTGGGGCGGGAAGGGGCTGTCTAAGTCCACAGGGAGTTTATCGGGTCACCCCAACATCACTTGAGGTTCACCGAACCACCAGCAGATCTGTGGCTCCTCACTGATGGCCCCACGCTGCCCAAGATCAACTTTCAAGGCGACCCGTCAGCTCCAATTCCAAGTTCTCCGGATGCAGGCAGAGGCAACACATCTGAGAGGCAGGGATCCTCCGGCCCAGCTGCTTACTACCAGACGGGCTCGTGGGAAGTGGGTGAGCTGAGAAGCAGCCAGGGGCACCTCAAATAGTTCACAAGACACACTGCCCAGCCCAGGCAGGATGGTGGCAGGAGGACACACCAGAAGCCACGGGCTTTCCTCATGAGGGGAGGGCATGGACCACTCACAGAAGTGAGATGCCCAAGGAAACTGGAGGCCACCTGGGGCCAGAGGGCAGGGTGGGGCCTGAGACATGTTGCACTTAAAAGTTTCCTGTGAGGGCCACCCTGACCTCAGTGCTCTCTAACCTAGCTTGGCCTGAGACTGATCAATAACTTATCCAAGAGATGATGTCACCACCCATCAATGATCACTCAGCATCCCAGCAGCCAGCAGGGAGTGAACTTCCTGTATGCTAATCAGGCCACCAAAAAGTCATGTGACAAAGGCATTTCCCTCCTTGGTCATGTGACCCTTTAACTGTGCCTTCCAACGTGAAAACCATGGCAACGGGCAGTTCTAACCGGTTTGTGACACACAGCCTTCATTTTGAAAAGGGAGGTAAGAGTTCAGGTGCTGTCAGAAAATGGAGGCGCCGGGCTCCCCGGGGCTGCAGCCATTTCCTGTGTGGCACAAGCCACAGAGACTATGCACAGGTACCAGGCCCAGGGTCACCTCTCTCAAGCCCAGAGGAGGCCACCAGCCTGTCTAGTTTTCAAAATGAAAAACTTCCTAATCTCAATTTTTTTTTTGAGGGGGGCACCTTTAAGGTTCTTAGTACTGTACTTTTCTGGAGAGTTTTTAATTCGGGGGGGGGAAAAGGTGGTTTGGAATGATTCCAAGGATTCGTTTAAGGAAGACTTTTAAAGCCAGAATAAAAGGCAGCCTAACCCATGTGCAGGGAGCATCAGTGTCCACCCCAGCCTGCCACCACGGGCTGCTATCTCAAATAAACTTCATTTGGAAGCTACGTGTATTTCAAGGCAAATACGACTAACTGATCCCACCTCCCCATCTTTGAAAACCCTCATTAAAAGCAGTGATCAAAAGAGACTGTATGTGCCCTACGAAGATCCCTGGAAGCAGGCCGGGCTGTTAGCAGCATCAAGGCTCACCGAGCACCAGAAATTCAGTGACCTGCCAGAAGTCTGCAGAGCTTCTGGAGGCAGGACTGTAATGTCACTTGCCACATGGTACCACTTGCACAGGTGACAGCTCTAGCTGCTCACCCCAGAATTCATACTGAATACCACCTAGCCCATGCTGGGGGCTTAGGGATCTCACTAAGCAAATGCAGGGCTCTTTGTCCCTGGGGCTCAGACCTTTGCGGTCAGTAAAACAGGCGCATGTGCTGGGAAGGTGGACCTGATCCTCCCTCCCTCCCTCCCCCACCTGCGCCGTGCACATTTGCCAAAGCCTGTGTGCACAGCAGGACCTGAACTGGGAGGTGAGAGGAACTACATCCTAGCTGCTCTCTGCTCCGGCTGTGGTCCACTGCGAGGCACAGAGCAAACACAAGCCTCAGGGCATGTGGCGGCCCTCTTGAGGCAAGACAGAACGCATTTAAGAAAGAATGGCCAACGGGGCTGGTGAGATGGCTCAGTGGTCTAAAGCACCTACTTAGAACAAGCTAAGCTCAAGCAAAGCACAGAGACCTTGGTTCAATCCCCCAGCACCACATGCTGGCCCGCCCACCCCCTGGTGGGCTGAGCTGGCCACACACTAAATAAATAAGTAAATAAATAAATAAATAAATATTAAAAAAAAAAAGAAAGAAAGAAAGAATGGCCAAAAATATACCAGGGGAGCTCGGAGGCACAAGCTCTAAGGAGCACAGCACACACCAGCCTCCTCTCAAGCGGTAGAAAGTCACAGACAGCATCCTGACAGTCATCCCCAGCCACCGTGGCCACAGGTAGCTTCTACTGAGCGCAAAGACCAAAGTCACCTCCACACAGGCCTTGAGACAAGAGGTGCTACTCCGGGAGAGCCAACTGCTTCCTGCACAGCACACAACCCCCCCAACTCCCCCGGGGCTCGGCCTGGCAGGAGGCTGTGGCAGTGTGGGGGCAGGGCAGCACCTGACTGTGGCACCTCCACACACAATGCCTGGGGAACACCCCTCCAGTGCACACCCCAACCACCCTACCTGCTTACACCCTGGCCCCAGGATTGCAGTCGGCAGTGGCCCAGCGCCCATGAGGACCCCAGAAGTGCACACCTGGGAAGCCCTTTCAGCTCCCCCCTCCCAGGGTTCTGTTGGGGACAGCACAGGCTTCCCAAAGGCCATCTAGGAGGTCTCCACCCTCCCTGGAGGGCAAAGAGCCTCTGCCTCCCAGGGCCCCTGTGTGGGCACCCCTGCCTCAGCCCTCCTTCCACCTTCCGCCCACCCCTCCCAGAAGGGCAGCCCCTTGCATAGGTATGGTACCAGCATAACTCTGGAGACCTGGGCTCCATTCCACTCCATGGGGCTCCCAATGAGGGCCAAGGTCTTTGTTCCCAGGGCACCGAAAGCAAAGGCAAGGGGAGATCAAGGCCAGGTGATGACAGCTGCCCCAGAAGAGGGTGTGGTATACCCAGAGGGCCTGGCCCGATCACTCCTGAGGAGCTGCCCTCACAAAGATGCAGGCCTGCAGCTCCCCAGGGCACTTGCCTAAAGAGAGCCTTGATCTTCCCCAAGACCCCCAGCCTCCTGGCTTCCTCCTCTGGTCTCTAAGGAAGAGGATCAGCCTCCTGGGGATGCCTGGTGAGGGAAGCTCTACCCAGGAAGGCTCAAGGCTCTTGGAGTGGCAGCCTCTTGCCCAGCCTGCCCAACACATGCATGAGGTGCCTTGCACCATGCCATCTGCGCCCTCTCCACAGCCAGGAGGGCCACGTCTTGAAGGCCCCTAGGCAACCCCCAAAACTGTAAGAGCACCACACCCTCGAAGGGCCTCAATGGATGCCCAGACAGGATAATGACCTCAGAGCTGGCAGCTGAGAGGCACCCACAGGTGGGTCCCTCAGTGGAATGATTGGTTCTGTCAGAGGGGATGCTCCCCGGGCTCCTGGACTCTGAGGCTGAGCAGGCAGGCAGCAAACAGGCCACCTCTCCTCAGCCTTGCACTCGTGGGTAGAACCCTCTATGGGGGGCCCAGAGCTACCTGCGGGGATACAGAGCAGATGGCCTGATGGCAGGATCTGGTGTGGCCTCGCACTGCACTCCAGGATGGGGTCTGAGCTCGAAAGAACCCTTCAACTGGTCTCCTGCCCTCAAGGATGGCTACTTCCCACAAGCACACAGATGCCAAGCTGCTGAAGGAAATGAAATGCAAATCCACTTGAAAGGATTTCCAAACTCTCTGCTGTTGTGTGTGTTTCTAATAAGCAACAGATCCTAGAAGTCCAAGCCCTGTGACTGAGTTCAACCACTTCCCTGGGTATCAACAAGGAAACCTTGTACTCCGGATAGACAAACCCCTATACCCAGAGGCAAAAATGGCATAGGCCCCTGCTGAGGCCCACTGCTGGCTTCTGCAGAGCCAACGGATGCAGTGGTGGCGCTGGGTGCTGGCTCCCCCAGCACTGTGCTCCACCCCACCCCGGCTGGTTC